GATGGAAATTTGTTTTGGATTATATTTATATATCTCACGACCCGAATTTTTCATACTCGGGAGTCGTGATGGCGCCTACTAGTGAAATCTAGGCAAGCCAATCATTCCAAATATTTTACCTTTTCTATTTTTAATCCTTTAACATTGGTAAATTAACATTAAATAAATAAACAACAGAATTAAATAAGCGGAAAAACAAAATATAACAAATTAAATAATATTGATACAAATCCATAAACAAAAGCTACCGAGAACTGGTGTCACATTCTCACAGACTGTCTAGGAATACTACAAATAGGGGTTCGAAAGATAAATACAAAGTTATTTCTGAAATACATAAAAGAAACAATATGAAAAGATAGAAGGAGATGCCAAGGGCTGCGGACGCCTGCAGGACTACCTTGGGTCGCCTGATGGACTGAAGGTAGCAGCCTCACTACAGTCCAAAAGCTACAGCACCGAGATCTGCACACAGTGCAGAGTGTAGTATCAATACAACTGACCCCATGTGATGGTAAATGCCTAGCCTAACCTCGGCGAAGTAGTGACAAGGCTAGAACAAGACTATCAAATAAACTTGTGCAGTTAACTCATACAACAAAAAAATAAAGGCAGAAATTTACAGTTAAAGGTAGGAGGGGAAAACATGTTGCGGGGAAACAACAAGTAACAATAGAAAACCAACATAGAAATGTAAAGAACACCATAATTCAACTATCAGCAAGAACTGAAAATTAAAGACAAGTGCACGGCATCACCTTTCGTGCTTTTACTCTCGTCCTCACCATAAGAATCAATATAATCGGCACGGCATCAATCATGGCACGAAATTATCCTTCGTGCATTATCACTCATATCATGGCATGGCATTATACATCGTGTGGCACGACATCACCCTTCATGCTTTTACCTCACAATATTGGCACGACATCACCCTTCATGCATTAACACTCTCAAAATCATGCACGACATCACCCTTTGTGCTTAACACTCTTCCTCACCCAAGCAACAATCACAAAGCAATTTGGGCAAGGGAATCAATAATATCATAAAAACATCCCGGCAAGGGAACAATAGTATAACAACAATATCCCGGCAAGGAAAACAATATCATGAGTAATAACATCCCGGCAAGGGAGATAATATCAAAAGCAATAACATCCCGGCAAGGGAGACAAAATCATAAACCTCTTATCTTCTTCACATTTACTTCACAACTCAATTCTCAACTTGAGCCAACGCTCTACAATGTTCAATTACCAATAATACTTCCACAAGCCTTGTTCAACAATAAAAATTATCATATAAAATATGAACAATACGAAATGGAGGCACATTAATCATAGTATAAGACTCACTGGCATGCTTGACACCGACGCATAGATACCCGTCACCATGCATATACGTTGTACTCAACAATTAACACATAGCAAATAAGATACAACTCCTAATACCTTAAGTTAAGGTTAGACCAAACACTTACCTCAATGCCATGAACACAATTCAAGCCTCATCTATCACTTTATCTCTTGTTTCCACCACCAACTCGCTTGTATCTAGCCACAATTTACTTAACGATATCAATAAATACTAAATGAATCAATTCTAATGCATGAAAATAGGTTTTCTAATGATTTCCCCAAAAAGTCAAAAATCGACCTCGGACCCACATGGTCAAAACTCGAGGGTCGAACCAAAACCCGATTACCCATTCACCCACGAACTCAAATATATAATTTGTTTTGAAATCAAACCTTAAATCGAGGTCCAAATCTCCAAAATTTAAAAATCCTAATTTCTACCCAAAACACCAAATTTCCCCCATGAAAACCCTTGATTTTGAATTGAAATCATGTGAAAAGATATTATAGATTAAAGAAAATAAGTTAGGAACAACTTACAATTAACTTGGAGAAGAACTATTCTTTAAAAAATCACTCAAGACAGTTTAGGTTTTGAGAAAGTTTGAAAAATGAAGAAAAATGCGTTTAAGTCCTATTCATTGGTCGCAGATGTCGCAATTGCGACCAGGGTTTTCCACCCTCGGGAGTCGTGATGATGCCTACTAGTGAAGCTAGGCAAGCCAATCATTCCAAATATTTTACCTTTTCCATTTTTAATCCTTTAATAGTGGTGAATTAACATTATATAAATAGTAGAATTAAATAAGCGGAAGAACAAAATACAACAATTTAAATAATACCGATACAAATCCATAAACAAAAGCTACCCAGAACTGGTGTCACAATCTCAAGGACTATCTAGGAATACTATAAATAGGGTTCGAAAGATTAATACAAAGCTATTTCTGAAATACATAGAAAAAGCAGTATGGAAAGATAGAAGGAGACGCCAAGGCCTGCGGACACCTGCAGGACTATCTCGGGTCGCCTGATGGACTGAAGGCAGCAACCTCACTGTGGTCTAAAAGTTACAGCACCGAGATCTACACACGGTGCAGAGTGTAGTATCAGCACAACTGACCCCATGTGCTGGTAAGTGCCTAGCCTAACCTCGGCGAAGTAGTGACGAGGCTAGGACAAGACTACCAAATAAACTTGTGTAGTTAAATCATATACAACAGAAAAATAAAGGTAGAAATTTATAGTTAAAGATAGGAGGGGGAAACATGCTGCGGGGAAACAACAAGTAACAACAGAAAACCAACAGAGAAATGTAAAGAACATCATAATTCAATTATCAGCAAGAATCGGAAATCAAAGACAAGTGCATGGCATCACCCTTCGTGCTTTTACTCTTCTCCTCACCATAAGAATCAATATAATCGGCATGACATCACCCTTCATGCTTTTACCTCACATAATTATGGCACGGAATTATCCTTCGTGAATTATCACTCATATTATGGTACGACATTGTACATCATGCGGCACGGCATCACCCTTCGTGCATTAACACTCTCAAAATCATGCACGACATCACCCTTCATGCTTTACACTCTTCCTCACCCAAGCAACAATCACAAAGCAATTTGGGCAAGGGAAATCAATAATATCGTAATAAAATCTCAGCAAGGGAACAATAGCATAACAACAATATCCGGGCAAGGGAAACAATATCATGAGTAATAACATCCCGGCAAGGGAGATAATATCAAAAGCAATAACATCCCGGCAAGGGAGACAATATCATAAACCTATTCTCTTCTTCACATTTACTTCACAACTCAATTCTCAAGTTGAGCCAACGCTCTACAATGTTCAATTACCAATTATACTTCCACAAGCCTTGTTCAACAATAGAAATCATCATATAAAGTATGAACAATACGAAATGGAGTCACATTAATCATAGTATAAGACTCACGGGCATGCTTGACACCGACACATAGATACTCGTCACCATGCATATACGTTGTACTCAACAATTAACACATAGCAAATAAGACACAACTCTTAATCCCGCAAGCTAAGGTTAGACAAAACACTTACCTCAATGCCACGAACACAATTCAAGTCTCATCTATCACTTTACCTCATGTTTCTACCACCAACTCGCTTGTATCTAGCCATAATTTACTTAACGATATCAATAAATGCAAAATGAATCAATTCTAATGCATGAAAATAGGGTTTCTAATGATTTTCCCAAAAAGTCAAAAATCGACCTCGGACCCACATGGTCAAAACTGGAGGGTCGAACCAAAACCCGATTACTCATTCACCCATGAACTCAAATATATAATTTGTTTTGAAATCAGACTTCAAATCGAAGTCCAAATCCCCAAAATTTGAAAATCCTAATTTCTACCCAAAACACCCGATTTCCCCCATAAAACCCTTGATTTTAAATTGAAATCATGTGAAAAAGTGTTATAGATTAAAGAAAATGAGTTAGAAATGACTTACAATTGATTTGGAGAAGAACTATTCTTTAGAAAATCGCCCAAGAGAGTTTAGGTTTTGAGAAAGTTTGAAAAATGAAGAAAAATGCGTCTAAGTCCTATTCACTGGTCGCAGATGTCGCAATTACGACTAGAGTTTGCAATTGCAAACCCCTTTAGGACCTGCTGCCTTCGCAAATGCGAAGAATCTGTCGCATTTGCGACCAAGGGGAAATCCGGTCACCTTCGCATTTGCGAGGGACTAGTCATATTTGCAACATCACAATCGCGAGAAATGGTCGCATTTGCGACCAAGGCCTGTCCAGTCTGGGATCGCATTTCCGACACCTGGGTAGCAATTCCTATGCCTGAAAACTTCGCAATTGCGAAGTCTGATCTCGCAATTGCGACATCAGAGGCCTGAGCAAAAATGTCAGATACCAACAACCATTCCTAAGTCCAATTTCACTCTGTGGCCTATCCAAAACTCACCTGAGCCCTCTGGGCTCCAAACCAAACATGCACAAAAGTCCAAAAATATCATACGGACTTGCTCGTGCGATCAAATCATCAAAATAATATCAACAAATATGAATTAAACCTCAAATTCATGAAATCACTTAAGAACATTAAAATTACTATTTTCTCAACTATATGTCCGTTTTATACCAAACCCACTCCGATCTTTACCAAATTTTATAGATTCATCTTAATAACTATTTCAAACTTGTACCGGGCTCCGAAACCAAGATACGAGCCCGACAATATCAAGAATTACATCAAATCACTTCCAAATAGGGGTGTGCATTCGGATCGGTTTATCAATAAATTGAATCGATAATTTGTTATCGGTTTATCGATTTATCTATTTCAATTTTGATTTCAAAATTTTCCTTATCGAGTTATCGATTTCGATTTCGATTTTGTCCTCTTCGGTTATCGGTTTATCGATTTATCTATTTCAATTTTGATTTCAAAATTTTCCTTATCGAGTTATCGATTTCGATTTCGATTTTGTCCTCTTCGGTTATCGGTTTATCGATAAACCGATAAGATATACTAAAAAAACAAATATTCCCTTATTCTATAATACCCTTCCATTTACCCTAAGTCCCTAACCCTATTATTTCCTCTACCCTTTACATCCAGCTTTCAAACCATTTATTTTTGTCACAACCCATTTCTTGGCCCAAATTCGATTTTTCCAATCTCTTCGTTTTCTCGTAATCTTGGCACAATTCTGAGGTCTAGAAGAAAACCCAGTTTCACAGTTTGCTTTGTTCCGGAGGATGAGAAGTTGACTACTCAATTTGACAAGTTGAATGCCCAATTAGAGATTGGGACAGAAGAGATTCAAATAAAAATTGAGGAGCAGATCTCAGCAACGCGTTTAACCGAAAAATTGGCTAGGAAAAATCGGAGAGGTTTACTTATCTTGTGGTTACGGCTATGTCTAGTTTTGGGATTACTTCCTTGGCTATTATGGCCGTCTATTACAGATTTTCGTGGCAAATGGAGGTATGAAACACTTCATAATTAATTCTCACTTCACTCTTCTTCTCGTTTTTCTTATTTTTAGAAAAATTGCTTTTTACTGAATTTTCTAATAGTATGTTTGGGTGTAGGGCGGAGAAGTGCCTTTAACTGAAATGTTTGGTACATTTGCTCTCTCAGTTGGTGCTGCTGTAAGTTTCTTATTTTCTACTATCTTTTAGCGTCTGTTGTAAGTTGCTTTTTAGCTTCTTTTTGTCCATATTAGTTAGGCGTGTTTATAGCGATAAACTTTCCGTGGAATCCCGCAATTTTATTTTATTGGTGTAATCGATAACCAAATCGATAAGCCCCAAAAATCGATTAATCGCAATCGAAAAAATCGAAACCTTATTGAAACGATAACGATAAGCATATGTACAAACCGATAATCGATAAGTAATTGTCGATAAGGGTCAAAATCGAATCGCTAAATCGAATGCACACCCCTACTTCCAAAAACCTTTATATTTTTAGAAAATAATTTTCTTTAAAAATTCATTTCTCGGGCTTGGGACCTCGGAATTCGATTCCGGGAATACGCCCAAGTGCCAAATTTTACTACGGACCCTACAAGACCGTCGGATCACGGGTCCGGGTCCGTTTACCAAGAATGTTGGCCTAAGTCAATTTTATTCAATTTTAAAAGCCAATTTCCTTATTTTACTTAGTTTTCACATAAAAGTTTTTCGAAAACACGCCCAGACTGTGCATGAAAATCGAGGTGAGACAAAAAGAGATTTTTAAAGTCTCGAAATACAGAATCGACTTGTAAAATAAGTGAACACAATAATTTTGTAGGTAATTCGTTTCAGGAATTAGTTAATGGGTTCTTCCTATGATAGTCTAACTAGTTTCACCCATTGGATCCACTTTTTTGATAATATACAAATATCTCAACTCTGAACATACCATGAGGAAATTAAAGCTAAGGTCTACTCTAGGCTTTTTCGGCTTTTAATCAAACCGAACTATTGGGACAAAGGCATAAAAGCTAATATGAGATTTTAGCGTTAGTCAACTTGCTTTCTTTTCTTGCCTTAATGTTCCTCCGTTTTTTCTTGGTAATAATCATTTGTCTGAGAATCAACTCTTGGAAATTAGCCTGTCTGAATATTAGGCCTTTAATTAATATTATCACAGTGAAATTCTAACGCTGAAATTCATTATCAGACAATGACTCCAGTGAAGCCCAGATCTGAATATGAACCAACGAAAGCGAAAAGTTTTATTTTGTGTTTCATACAACTGATACTAGTTGTATAAGGCTCATTTTTGTCTCATAAATTTGTGGACCCCAATCTTATATTTTTGGGTCCACAAAACTGTGAGACAAAAAAGTTATCTCATACAATTAATGTCAGTTTTATGAGACACAAAATAAACTTCCCTGGAAGCAGATATTTTGTTAACCCTAGAGCACCTCGTCAAAGTAACACTTTGTTTGACATGATTATTTACTATAGCTTATCATTTTCACTTTAAATCGTATCAAGACAAGACTATATCTAATATTGATTCTATGAAAAATTTTAAAAAATGTTTACCATAAAAACCACACATAATAGTACATGGGATAAGAGATCGACATCACATGATTCCATGTAAAGGTGCATTTAAAGTTCAAAGTTATCCCAAAAATCTTTATTAGCACTAAATTATTGGACGTAGTACCATGAAAGTGGACAGTATCGTGACAATATATGGGACAGCAATGGCTATTTGTTGAGGTCACCCTAAACGAATGATGTTTCCCACTCTCTTCCTCCTTTTAATGATTAGACAAGAAAAGGCAAAAAAGGAGGAGACAACTCTCAAATTTATCCTGCTCAAAACATGAGTGTCAGTAAGCTTTTAACATTCTATATATCGTCCAGCCTTTTCATAATTGTTTGGTTTGTTCTGATATTTTTTTATTATTATATATATTGAAATAATATTATAATAAACATATATTATATCATAAAATGAAAAAGTAAGGGAGCGCTTCAATATGAAAAGTGCTAAGTTGGTTCGCACATCCCTTCTTGGTCATCTGAAGTTGAGCAAGAAGATGTGTCCAACAAACAACGGAAGAAAAAAAAAGAATGGCCAAGATTCCTTATTCCTCTACCGTCGAAAGTTTGATGTATACAATGGTATGTACTCGACCAAATATTACTCATGCAATCGGTGTGAAATGAAACGCTTCTAAGCTTTTGATTTTGAAAATAGAACGTTTCTGCCTTGATTTAAAATGGAACGCTTCTTGGCTTCAATGGAATGTCCTTGGCTTTTAACACCAAAGGCAAAAAATATTTATCACTGTTATAATAAAATGTCAAACTGTACATTATTTCGAAACAATATTACAATGTGGCGAAAGGAAAGTCTGTCAGATGGGAATTGGGAATCTTTCAAGAACAAAACGAAGACAGTCGTACATTAAACATAGTATTTTCAAGTTTTAAAGTAAAAAGAAATCAAAGTCTGATCCCTAAAAAGGAGGGGTCCAGAATCAAATACAGTAGTCTTTTTTGAGATTAGATGAAACTTTTTTACTATTTTGCGGTTTCCATATGAAAATCTTGGAAAAGCAAGATAATTGGTAAGGTCTTCGATCTACATGGATAAACTTACAAAATATGTAACCCATCAAACATAATTCGACGGTAGTGAAAACTTAAACTGCAAACTTAATTAAGTAGCAAGAAATTTTCTTGAGAAATTGTATAGAACCTTATGCCAACTTTTTGGACTCAAAAAAAGTTTTTATAGTGTAAGAAAGAAGTTACTTTTCTATCTAAAACGCGATATTATACTGTGTTATACTTTAACGAAATTTTAGCCGTTAAAGTAAAGCGCAGTATAATACCGCGTTTTATATATAGCACAGTATTATACTGCATTTTACTTATTAAAATTTAAAACCCCCCTTCTTCCCCACGACAGAACACTCAATCCTCCGTTAAAGTATTCAACAGTGCCCCCCCCCCCCCCCCATTCTAAAAAATATTTTCGAGTGGACCACGCCCGTCACAGAAAAAGTGAAGATTGTAGGTCCCACATACAACCCAAGCATTCGATTGTTGTGGTTTCCTCGTTTCGGGCTCAAATTTCAATTTTTCGACTTTTCTAAAAACATAAATCGAGGTATTCCAATTTAGTTTATGTCGAAACTTGTATAATGATGCATATTAGATGTCATGAATGTGTTTCCACATTGTTTTGTGTTTTGTTTGCAATTAAATTTGTATGTTATTTTTATCCGGATTAAATTATTAGTGTTTAAAAAAATAGTTAAAAGTTGAGAAATAATTTTTCTTGTTAATAAAAATGTTCATAAATTTCTTTTACTGTTTTATATGTAATTTCGTGAATGTTATGTTATTAAAATATGTTTGTTGTTTTTATTTAGTTTAGATTATTTATTTACTTAAAGAATAGTGCCCTTATAGCGTAGTAAAATATAGAGCCTTTTAGCGTAGAATCTTTGTAGTTTAAGTATCTACTAACTACAAATTCTATCCAATTACACTTTATAAAACAAACACACAGAACTAACAAATATATGCTGTCAAATTAAATATCGAGCATGGAACTCATAGATATATACTCTGTCCAATTAAAAATTAATAATTTAATTCATAAAACTACCAAAATTCTAAAAAATATCAAAATCTTCACAAATAAGAATTCAGGACAGTTTGGTACTACTAGACCTCAAATATCGAGCCTGGAACCCATATATATTTACTCTGTCCAATTAAAATTAATTATTTAATTTATGAAACTAACAAAATTCTAAAAATATTGAAATTGGCACACATAAGAATTCAGGATAGCTTGGTGCTACTGGGCCTCAAATATTGAGTCTGGAACCCATAAATATTTACTCTGTCTAATTAAATAATTAAATAATAATTATTATAACACAAACAAAATTCTAAAAATATTCAAATTGACACACATAAGATTTCAGGATAGTTTGGTGCTACTGGGCTTCAAATATCAAGCCTGAAGCCCATAGATATATACTATCCAATTAAATATTTAATTTATAAAACTAACAAAATTCTAAAAATATTAAAATTGACACACATAAGAATTCAGGATAGCTTGGTGCTACTGGGCCTCAAATATCGAGCCTGGAACCCATAGATATATACTCTGTCCGATTAAATAATTATATTTAATTTATAAAACTAACAAAATTCTAAAAATATTAAAATTGACACACATAAGAATTCAGGATAGCTTGGTGCTACTGGGCCTCAAATATCGAGCCTGGAACCCATAGATATATACTCTGTCCGATTAAATAATTATATTTAATTTATAAAACTAACAAAATTCTAAAAATATTGAATTTGACACACATAAGAATTCAAGATAACTTGGTGCTATTGGGCCTCAAATATCGAGCTGGTAGCCCATAGACATATACTCTGTCCAATTAAATCTAAATCTTAATTATTATAACACAAACACACAATTAATATTGTTTAATTTACAGTAGACGATATAGACGTGCCGCTTGTGCATCCTGGACCTTTCTCGGATGAGATATTAGTGTTACAAGGCGATCATAGGTTCGCCTACGTATGGGAGGGAGAGCTAGTGGAGCAGACTCTCCGCGCCAGGAGAGTGGACGACGTGTGGGACTTTATGAGGGAAAGAGTTTTCCATCCCGACGTAGTCCATCGCCTGCGTGATACGGGCTTCTATAGGATATTTGAGATTGGGCGGCTGCAGCTCGACTGATCTCTGAGCACGGCGTAGATAGAGTGGTGGAGACCAGAGACGTACACTTTCCACATGCCCATTAGCGAGGCCACCATCACGCTTTAGGATATTCAGGTTTTATATGGGCTGCCTGCTGATGGACTGGCCGTTGCACTGCCTCAGTATATGAGATTTATGACGCGTGCCCAGTATTTGGACTTGCTGCAGCAATTCACTGGTTTTAGGCCACAGGGTGAAGTTGCAGCTTCATGGGGCAGTCGCATTTCTATGACAACTATTAGACAGCATTTGACGGTATTGCACCCCGACATCACCGGCGAGATAGATGATCTATATATTTACCGGTACACGAGGTTGGCGCTGCTCCTTCTTTTTGGGAGTATCTTGTTCCCGAACACTTCGGGAAATCTAGTGAGTATGCGATTTCTACATCATCTTCAACAGCTAGATGAGTTACCCCCAGTATAACTGGGGTGTTACTGTTCTCGCTTGCCTGTACAGGAGTATGTGTCGGGCTAGCATGGGCACCCAAAGCAACGTATGTGGTTTTCTGCCGCTTTTACAAGTGACAACATATTCGAATACTATGTTCATTACTTCCAATTCTATATAGTCAAAATGACTCTTAAATTTTACGTCGACCTTGTATGTTAGGTTTGGGCCTAGGAGCGGTTTCTGCCGTTGCAGCCACCTCTACCACCATTACCTCCGGATGTAGCACCTCCGTTTCTCGCTCTATCTAGGAGGTGGGTTCTCTGGCGTGGAAATTACTGAGCCATTGATGCTCATCATAATCTCCCCCTTGTCAGGGATGTGTTGAATATGCTGGAGGTCGTACAGGTAAATATGTAACTAAACTTATATGTTATAAATTCACTTGTGTTGCGCATACTCACTTTTATGTTATTATTTGATAGTTCATCTGGACGCCATATAGCGACGACTTGATAGCTGGCTTGCCTGATTATTGCTTGGTCAGCTGACTGATTTGGAGCACTTTTGTCCCGCTAATGTGCCTTGATATTGTGGAGCATCATGCCACAGAGCTGGTACTTTGCCAGTTTGACCGTCCGCAGACTATACTGAGGGAGCCTACATGGGAGGCTACACATTATCAGCGGGATGATCGTTTGAGGACGGACGACGCATTTGTAGCAAGGCTAGAGGCACAGGTCCATACTTGGGACCAGCAAGAGGACCTGATTCCGCCCCCACCTTCACAGATCCAGTCGCTAACTACTGAGATTTATATGTCCTGGTACCGCAGCGTTACCCGACTGATGATTGGGAACCCCGTTCATCAAGCTGGCGGTTAGTACAGACCATACGCCGGGAGGCACGACGCACTGGTATGTTTTTTTTTTGGAACCCATACTTATAACTGTGATATAGTATTCTGTAATTAAGGCCGACAATCATGCAATCACTGAGTATGGCCGGCAGGTGGTAGAGCTGGCTCTCCGGACACTGCAACAAGCCAGAGAGGACGAGAGGTTAGATCACGCTGCTAAGTATGTGGCGCTAGAGCATCACCATCAGGATAGGCCTGTCGCACGCCCGAGGGGACAGGCACGAGCCAGGGCTACCCCATGAGGCAGCTGCCCCACGAGGCAAGGATATCCCACGAGGCAGGGGTGTCCCATGGGGTCATGGGGGACGGGGAGGAGGTGGTCCCCAGCAAGGGGGCGTTGAGGCACCTGTTGTGGCACCTGATGAGGATTTTGGAGATGATCAGCCGGATTACATCCCTCAGCAAAACGAGCCTTCCAGCAGCTTGCCGTCGTACAGCCTTTAGTTGGAGCTGCCAGCATCGCAATTCACCCCGTCAGATCTAATGTTGATCACGGGTACATTCGACGGAGATGTATAGCAGTTCTTTTCAGGCCCATCTACCGCAGTTGAGGATTGGCCGACCCGATACGTGGATGGTAGGCGCAGGTTGAGTTTTGGCTCATCCCCGGCGTTGCAGCAGATCTATCATAGGCGCAAGTATGTTTGTATTACTATTAAATTTTAAATTGTTTTTTTCCTTAATGATTTGCCATAAACTAATTTTTAATTTTCTTATTATGGCTTCGTCCCAGCCCATCACAGAGCCCATTCAGGAGCCCGACGAGACCATGTTAAGAAAATATTTTTGACTTAACACGTACATTACTAATATATATTTTCATATACTAAGCTTACTAATTGTTTTGTAGGTTGCTGATGGACCGATGACCCCTTTTACCGATCCTGCCAGCGCTACTGACGATCATGCTGCAGCGCATCCTCACATAAAGAGGCGACGTGATGAGGATGATCCTGATAGCGTATCCGGGCAACAGGGGATGCTCCTCAGGCCAGCGGCTGCATTGAAGTACACAGGTTGTAGGACCCATTGATTTTTTTTTTTTTGTATTTTATGTAAATAATACATTATATAAATAATGGCAAGAATTTTATTTTAACAATAATTTTATTTTAACACAATTTGGACAAGAATTTTCTTTTAACACTATAACACAAACACAAACATAGCAAACCTAACATAACATAAATTCAGTACACCTAATGAAAACACATAACACGGAAACATAAAGATACACTACTACGCTCTACACGTACATGTCATTGTTTAGTCACGACCGCCTAGTATTCTCTACTCCAACCACTTATTTTTTTCTTCTTCCACCTCCTTGAGTTTCTCCTTCAACTCCGCAACTTCTCGTTTGGATTGTTGCTCTCTTTCCCACTGCTTCAAATACAAAAAATGAAGAGAATACAACTTTTCTTTGTAGTATTCCTGCTGACAGGGTTCATCAATCCATACCTCAAAATTGCAAACAGGTTCATCGGGAACCCTATAAAACTTGTTCATACACGCCCAGTAGTGGCATCCAGTTTCTTCCCAACAATCGTGCATCATGCATTTTTTGCTGCACTCGCACCTTAGGACATAAAGGGGTTGAGACATTTGTTAAAGTGTAAAGAAAAACCTTTCTTTTATGGAAATATTTGTTATTGGTTATTGTTAAGCACAGAAAATAACTAGAATGCGCCCATTATTTATAGGCAAGAGGACACACAAAATATAGTATTGTACCGCGCTATACATATTCAATTATTTTGAAACAAAACAACTTTTGCGTAGTCAGTTCAGCTTTACAGAACGACCAGACAACACACAAAACATAGTATTGTACCACGCTATACATATTCAATTTTTCTGAAACGAAATAGGTTTTGCGCAATCAGTTCAGCTTTACAGAACGACAAGACAACACACAAAACATAGTATTGTACACATATTCAATTTTTCTGAAATGAAACAACTTTTGCGCAGTCGGTTCAGCTTGACAAAACGACAAGATAACACACAAAACGTATTATTGTACCGCACTATACATATTCAATTTTTCTGAAACGAAACAACTTTTGCATAGTCGGTTCAGCTTTACAAAACGACAAGACAACACACAAAATATAGTATTGTACCATGCTATACATATATAATTTTTCTAAAACAAAACAGCAATGTCTTGATTTATCCTTTATTATCTTTTATTTTCATGTATGTTGCTTTAGTTATGATTGTTGTGCTTTTATCTCTTCGAATATTATGTTATGAAATTTCAATCTTCAGATTGGTCTTCTTTACTAACACCAATAAGTTGAATGTTGGAACTACCATATCATCATCCCAATTCAGAAGGTCATGTTAACAAAATAAGACGTAACAAGATTGTAGAACATAATTTTATTTGATAGATATTGCAACATACACAAGTACAGACACTTATTACAAAAAACATTACGAAAACAAAATACTTGGTGTATCCTTGATAGTTAGGTACATTCGACGAACTTGCACCAGGAGCTGGATTACCACCGCCACCCATACCAGCTGAAGGACATTTACAACGGTCGCGTCCTATTTGCGAGCATATGCTACATTTAAGCGCATAAACGGTATCACCAACATCCATTTGGTTCTGTATACGCATTCTCTTTTGCACTTGTAGCTTGCGCAAATAGTCCTTGTTACACACTATTTTAAATGGTTCCGGTGACCAATAATGTTCAGCACCCAATGGTTGCAACTGCCCACTACATGTGTCTACATATGCAGCAACACTGTATTTCCTATCAATATAGTTGGTTGCCCCTAAACCAACTTGTTGAAAGCACTTCATGGCATGTGCGCACGGCATGTGGTAGATGGTCCATTTTCCACATGAACATAACCTGTTGGCTTCATTCACCGTCTGTAGATTATTCCTCCGGTGTCCGCGGATAGCGGTGCAAACTTCAAAAATACCCCGGTCATGATTGTACTGTAAATATGAATGCCAATGTGCTCGCCTCCTTCACTTCTCAAATCTTATCATCGGTATTGGTATAAATTGAACACCCATGTGCATCAATTCTGATGCAGCTCTATGCCTTTCAACAAACCTCTCCACAATCTATTTGAATGTCATCCGGACCATGGCAGTGACAGGCAATCCACGTGCAGACTTCAATAAGCCTTTGAATGACTCCGACACATTTGTAGTCAGGGCTCCCCATCTTTTGCCACCATCAGTATGCAATGTCCACATATGAAGCTCATGTCCCATCAGCCAAGTATAGGCTCGTAGATCTAACTGTCGAATCGCTTCCATGCGCCTCGTAAATTTGCACTACTGGTGCTCAGTTGCAGCCATCCACATTAAATCATGCAAGGCCTTATCGTGATATTTCTTCTGGAAATTGGCCTTCAAGTGCCTCACACAGTAACAGTGGTATGCATAGGGTTCCTGTCATTCAGGCAAATGTCGTACAGAACTTAAAATACCACCTGTCGATCAGATATTAGACAAATACCTGAACGCTGTTTGACAACATGCTTCTTCAAGTGGTTCAAAAAAAGCATCAACGTCTATTCGCTTTTATTGGCACAAATGGCAAAAGCTAGTGGAAATATTTGTCCGTTGGCATCTACTGCAACTGCGATCAAAAGCTTAATATTATACTTCCCATAGACATGAGTGCCGTCTATGGAAATTACCGAACGTCAATGCATAAAACAATCAAATTGCTGGTTTAAATGACTAGAACACATAGTTGAAAATATATTTTGGTCTTTCCGAACTCCGCTCACGCCTCCTTTCAACAACAGTCCTGGGGTTAAAGTGTTTCAGTGCGGCCATGTACCTGGGTAAAGATGAAAATGACTTATCCCAGTCACCATAAATAATTTCAAAAGCATGTTTGCGCCCGAGATATGCCTTTCTTTTGGTTATAGTACACCCATACTCCTAGTGGACGGCTGTAATACACTCTTTGATCTTGAACCTAATGGACACTTTCAATTATGGAACCAAGACAAGAGAAATCAAGTCTACATCCAAGTTGAAGTGATTCTCATTGAATGTGTCCATTTCACATCTGTGGGTGCTAATATATTTACCCACTTTCTATAACCCTGATTTCTTCTTGCTGGCACGCAACATCCAGTGACAACCCATAAAGTCTCTATGGCATACAGCCTTGTATACCTCCGTAGTTGACTCCCTTACCGTCATCTCACGACACTCTCTTACACTGTAGATTTTTACAGCCCTGATTAGGCGAGCTTTATGGGGAAAATACATGCCATTTGCCAGCAGTGCTGGTCTAGACTCATCCCATATTGTTGAATGAAATTCGTCAGCATTCCTTGTGAGGGCATCCATATCCGGCATACTTGGCAAATTATTAAGGTAGGGAATATTCCGCTCATGAAATGGCACATGGGACTCGTATACTCTTGGTCTAACGGGAGGTGGATGAGCAAGCTCCCTCGTTAGCTCAGGTTCGACATTCACTTCCGCCTCATCATCACCCTCATCGGGGAAGGTGTGTCATCTTCAGACTCATCGGCATTGTTGTCATAATCACTATCATCTTTCTGACTCGGCGCATCTGCCAAATCACGAGTCAATACGTCATCTACGGAAAACTGTGTCAGGTCAGGAACATCAAGTTGCTCGTTTTCACTACACAAAAAGAACAAAATGATAAGCTACTCAAATTGATAAATACTTTACATATAGCTATATCACTTCACTTACAAGTCGTACTGTGTTGACATTCCATGATGGACATTTTCTTGTTGGTGATGACTCCCGAATGGACCACCGTGGTCCAACACGCCAGAACTATGCATATTCCAACTAGGAGCGGAGGTCATAACTTGTAAAATTCATATCCGGATGGTACCCCTATGAAAAATATGAGTGTTAATACAAATCCAATTCAAACATAAAATAAATAACGCTAAGGCGTAGAAAAATTGAAGTTTACCAGTCGTCTTGTGGATTATATAACGTCGAAAAATTATTTCCTTGCTGCTCATTCGCCGGTGGTGATAAGTTTAAATCAAGGCAAACTCTTTCATCAGGAATCTGTCCGGAAAAACTGCTCCAGAATAACCACCTGATGACTGGGGGTTATCCCTACTATGCACAACCTCATTATTGGGAACGTTTTCAACCTTGACGTACATTTCCAACAATTTTATTATAATAAATTCCTTGTATTCATCCAGAATCCACAAAAAATCTCTAAGAGTTTCATCATCTTCGATGTTAAACTCAGAATAATAAGCAAACACTTGCAGAGTCATAGAATACGGAAATATACCGGTTACTTTAAGGTTCACTAAACGTTTCCTCACACTCATTTTTTTACGTAACTGTCACACCTCCTTTTTCCGCCCTCGCGGGGGTACAGGAGTTTTTTCCAATTAAAGGACAGTCGAAACGGGATTTATTTCTTTATTTCAGAGTCGCCACTTGGGAGATTTAGGGTGTCCCAAGTCACCTATTTTAATCCTGAATCGAGGAAAAGAATGACTCTGTATTACAGTCTGCGCACCAGAAATCCGGATAAGGAATTCTGTTAACCCGGGAGAAGGTGTTAGGCATTCCCGAGTTCCGTGGTTCTAGCACGGTCGCTTAACTGTTATATTCGGCTTGATTATCTAATATAATACGTATTATAAACTTATGTGCAAATTTTATCCCTTAGCCGCTTTTATTATTCTTTTTATTTATTGTTATTATTTTACGAAAAATTGCAACATTGTGAAAACGTATTTCAAATCACGTCGCAATCAATTGCACCCGTGGTTATCGACACATTTCGACTCCGTTGAGATTTAGATTTGGGTTACATAAATGCACACCCGTATTTAAGGAAATAACATTATTAAATACGCG